AATTTCATCATAGAGGATGGTTTGGGGTATTTTTGAGGTCCTCTTAGTAATTTGAGTTTTTCTCCATGAAGAAATGGCTTTTGGATTGCACGGAAGGTGTTATTCGTAATCAGCTCGTTAAGCTGAAGCTGAATATGTATAATAATGCCAAAAAAAATTTCACTTGAAGTTTGCATTACGTGCATCTTACTATGAGTTCAAAAATAATATTGGATTTTTCTTACTGTTTTTAGATCAGTTTACATGACCTACAATTCTACAATGAAAAATCTTTATAATATTGAAACATATCGGTTTACGTTACCCCGTGATATGTTCTACACAGATAATACTGGTTTTTGTGTTCCATCCAACAGTTGTTTACCAGATGGTTTATTTACAATGAGTGTTTGTGAAAAATGTAAGCCAGTTCTATTTACACCACACAAAAATATTGATTGTTCGTATTCTCGTTCTTCTAGTACGTACTGGTCCAGTTGAAATTGATTTACCAGTGGTTGCATCAAATCCACATTTTCTATATGCTGATCAAGCGGTTCAAGCATCTGTTATCGGTCTACAACCAGATGACACTTCACATCTGAGTTATGTTGATATCGAGCCAATGACTGGACGTATGTACAATAATGTCATTTTCTTTCTATGTAATATCAAAAAGAATTTTTTTAGTTATTATGAATGGATCACGACGAATTCAGTTTAATATGAAAGTCTTGAATGATTCTGCAATTAAGTAGGCCAGATCAAAAACTTGTTTACATCTTCATACTTCTTTTTGCTTCCTTTCTAATAGACCTGCAGCCCATCTTACTGAAATGGTTTACCCAATGCTTTGGGTCTCAGAAGTAAGTGATTACGTTTATTATTGAAATGAGTAGAGAATTATTATTTATTTTTATTCTAGCACGCTGAAATTGATTCAACTAATGCAAAAATTTTTCATAAAAAAGTTATTGTACCTTTAAGAACGCTAACAACAGTGAAATATGTTCTACTGGGTATCGGTATTCTTATGATATTTGCCATGTTTATCGTACTGGCATACGATCGATGTCGAGTACGTTGATTTACGTTTTTGGAAATGGTCAGGAGGGCTCATAGAGCACTGCTAAGAGCGTAGCAGATAAACACAAATGTTGCTACTTATTAGGCTTGATTTTCTCTCCAGATTGAAACCGCTAAATTTGTTTGAATTTTTGTATATTAGCAATTGTTTTCAAACGATCTTTTCTATTTTAGCCTGAATCTACTGGTAATGTGTTTCCACCAGTAGTGGATGAAGCAACTCCACTGATGTGTTAAAAATTCGTTTAATGCAATATTACTTTTAAAGCAGCATTTATTCTTTCTTACCCGGTACCACTTTGAGACTTCTTCGTTGCTACTCGTTTGTCTTTAATTTAACGATTATGAATTCGTTTCTTTTTGTTTCAATGTAAACTGCGATACTTTAATTTTGATGACATATTTTTTGTGCATGTAGATATATTTTTTTTGTAAATAGTTTCTCGTTTTTTACGAAAAAAATTGACTTATTTCCATGGCTACGCATTTTCTTTTGTCTCTTGTTATTAATTTTTGTTTGTATAGGCTGTTTTTATTTTTTTATACCATAAAAAGCTAGTTGGCAGTTTTTGTTGATAATAATATAATGAGATAAAAATAACAACATATTTTATGAACAATTCAAATAGACATGTTTCAAATTCCAAGGCAACTTCGCTAGCGACAGTCTTCCCAAGACTTCAGAATACTTTAATCTATAACTCACAGAACATCTAAACCATTTTAATTCAAAATTTGTTTTCTTGATTGAAGAGAAATCATCATGACTCAAAGATCAGCGCGAGCACTTTTTTTTGCCCATAAAAGTCTAATCTAGATAATAATCTTCCGTCAAGAGAATAAAACCACAATATTTAATTAAAAATAACTGAGTTAATGCAGAACATTGTATAGTTTTAACAGACAACTCCTGACTGTTCTCAATTTCAATTGTTACTTTTTGCACGTTTAAATCAATCAAGTACATCGGTTAACCACAGTTCTGCAGCCACTAATATTATTTTCGTATTGACGGCTTTCAGAGTATAAGAAGCCTTGTCGAATTTATCTTAAAGTTTTTTGAACTAGCTTAGTTGTTTCTTGTTCCAGGCGTGTAATTTTTTCTAGGCGGATCGAGATTAGTTTGTATGAGATCATTTTTCATACAGATTATACTGAACGAAACATCGAAGAATTCTATTATGATCAATAGGAGAAAATTTTGGCCAAATAAAACTGATGCATACAGTTCGATAATTTCAATAATCGAATTATCTGATTTATAAGTTCGTTTACATCACTTTCATTTATTTCACTGGTAAGAAACAATTCCCACATACTACACACTCATTACATTACAACAAGAAGTGATTGATTTCCTGGCTTCGTAGCGGCCCTTTCGGAAAAAAAGGAGGAACGTCAAAAACTTTTTAAGAGGAGCATAGGGTAAAAGAGAGAACAAGACGAATTATTTTTTGGCCAAAAACGGTACTGACAATGTTGTGTACATATCAAAAGTGGCTTAACTTCGTGGGGATGGGAAAACCATATATGCGTTCTGTCGTTCAATTTTACAGTTTTCGCCGTCAAACTTCCGTTTTTTGCAATCAATGTCCATATTTGGAATCAGCATCAAAAACTGAATCGACTGATGTGTGTTTTAGTGGGCTTAAGTCGATTATAACGATATAAAAATATTGACTCTATCTTCTAACTAAAATGAGTTGAAAGTTTTATCATGACTTGGAAAAGTACTTCAACTATGGGCGAAAAACTAAAATTTTTCATGGACTTACGATATTTGAATTAACAAAAAATAGATTTTTTAGATTCAGTTTTTTATGTAGAATAAAAATAAAATAAAATTATGTAAAAGCTACATGCACAAATGCTTTTTAAGGGTTTTAAAAATTTCAGTTTTTTTAAATTTTCAACCTCAAAATTTTTTTTCAAAAAATATGCGTTAAATTACGCATATTCAGATTCAGCTCAGCGAGTTCTATCCAACCATGTAAAAATATCACAGAAATAAATTCTGCTCGAATTTTCAACACCTGAACTCCCCACCCTCAAGGGGTTAAGACTCGCAAAAAAATGATTTCATCCCACTTAAAGTCTTTTTTGCCGTATTTCACGCGTAAAAATAATGAGAGAAACACAGTAAAAAGGAGTTATTCTATAAAAGGATAATGTAGGTGAACTTTGTGGTCAAGTTGTGGCTGTACGAGACGAAGATGTTGGAGAAATGAATGTGGTATTTTCTTTCAAATTGATTTTTTCATGCTGTTTACTTTTCTTCATGTGCTGTACTATCGACTGCAAGGTTTGTTGTTACGGTTGCCGCTCCTCACGTTTCTCGTTCATTTATGACATACTAAAAAAAAAGAAATAGAACGAACTGTTGTGTCAGAAATGAACGAGAAATGTGAGGCATGTGCAGTATAGAAAAGCAAAGAAGATATCTCTTATTTGATATGGCTCTAATATTTTCTTTTTTCCATTTTATGCGTTTCTTTACTCGCGAACGTTAACACGTGCCATGGCACATTCCGGCATGTTCTTATACTGCAGTAAAAGAAGATAAAGAGCAACAACAAGGTTGCTACCTTCAAAACACAGCACAATAAAAATAGACCGTATTCGTTGTTTTTAAACGTGTATTTCATATCTGACTGAATATAACTGCTAACAGTTCTTTGTGTGATAATAGATGCTAGTGCTTCCGTAGACATGAAAATGATGAATTTGCAGAACGAAAAACTAATTACAATTTTTAAATATTTATTTGAAAACAAAAAGGTCAAAATGCAAAAAAGTTAAAAACTTTGTCCTCGTTCAGTCCACTCCGTAGAAAATCATTTTAGTTAATGTAATAAAATCCATTACGGTGATCCGAATCAGACCAACGATCGGGCGTGGATGTTTCTATTCGTTTAATTCGTCTGATTCTAACGAGTAAACCTCATCTAAAATGTTGTACCATATAATTCTTTATGTTCTTCTTTCCTTTAAACTCGAACACTCATTCAGATCGAAAACTTATTGAAATACACGTGTGACGCTCTAACAGTTCTTGTCTCCTAGTAACATTGCATCTCTGATAAAGAAAAACATGAGTGGACGGATCATGTTGAGTTGTACCTGACGGATTAAAGAAAAGTTTCAATTGGGCAGTCGAGCCGAAAACATAGGTGGACAGATGATGGCCAACAACGGTTCGTCAAAAACGAGCCAGATGAAGAAAAAGCGAACCTATGTCGAGTGCTGAACTGAACTAAATAGCAAAAAATATTTTGTTTATGCTCATCTAATGCACATCTTTAGTAACTAAATCGAATTGAAAACTGAAAAATCACTGAATTTATATAATAGGGACCGCGCGAACGCAGACCCTGCGTAACAAATTGCGCTTTCGCCTCCCTCAATGTTGAAGGAGCGCAGAAGTCAGTTGGACCGAAGTGCAATGGTCAAACCTATTTCTGGGACATTAGCTTTGTTGATCGCCAAATAATCCAAAGCAAAGTAAGTATAAAACTTCACTCGTGTTCCACCTTTATATTTATATTTCATCACTCGTAAAACAAAATGGTAGTTGTTATAGTGAGCATTCGAATCGATGCTGATTCATCGACAGAAAAGAAAAGACAAAAAGAAAAGGAGATAAATGAATTACTCATATCTGTAAATGACTCATTCGGTATCCGACGGCTTTCTGATAGTAACTCGGACAAGTTTCTTTAAACAGAAAAAACCGTATTTAATTAATTATATGAAATTTGAGCACAGAGAGGATAGGATTTTTGAATTTTAGCAGATCATTTTAAACTTCTAGTTTATAGAAATTAGAAGTTTCTAGCGGAATATTGAGGCTCAATAATGAGTTTGGTCAAACCGCTTTACAGTGGATTTAAATTCATTTAATTCGTAAGTAATCGTCGTTTGTTTTGTTACTTATAATATTGTGTAGATGGAGGATACATAACAGATTTATCAATAGTCACACTTCTCTGGTAAATGTGTTTGCTAAGAACTAAAAAGAGAAAATCAGATGATAAGATTCTTGACTGGAGTGTCAAGAAATAAGATTCTTGGATGAATAAACACACGAAAGTCACACAGGGTAAGTTTACCACAGAATTTTTGCAACTATATACGGTATAAAAAGTCGATGTTTTTAACTGTTAAAGCATACTTACCTGCCAGAGGAGTGAAGGACGATCATCAATGTCCTTCCCCCAGGTCGAGGGTCCTGCCATTGCACAACGGTGGATCTGAAACTTGCGATAGGCTCTCAAATTGAGGCTTACTCGGCTGGAAAATTTATTCCGCAGGAGATGCGTACGCGCGTCTCCTTTCAAACAAAAAGATGTAATATATTCATTCATATCACATACGTAACTCACAGTAAATACAGACACGTGACTGAGAGTAATTCAAGGGGAAAATATCCGTATTTGAAAAAACTTACTCTGTAAAATTTTTAGAGTAGTATTAACATATTTACTCATTTGAGTAATACTCAAAAAATGCTTTGTTACATGCTGAGTTTAGTGTTTTGTCAATTTCTGTGAACACTCTACTTTTAATACTTCGAATGTCTTTCTGACTTCATCTTTTCCTTCTCATAAGAGAAGTGCCGAGCCAATGGTACTGGCATCTCAATGTGGTACTGATCAGTGTCGCATTCTCATACAAAATTCAGCATAAACAACCATAATAAAAAACTAATTAAATTGATTAAATAAATGATCAGTGCGGCACTTTTTTGGCAGAAATATGTGCATTATTTTAGGTTTTTAAGCTCTCCCTCTCGCATCTCAAAGCGTATCATAACAAAAGGGATAATAAAACAAAACGTATGACTAGTAAGTAGCAGACTAGATTAAGCAACATTTCACTCTCATTCGGTAATCTGTAACGACTGGCCTAAAAATGTTGTGTTTAATGACTTTCACGTCGTGGATTGCTTTGACAGATGGCCACCTAGCGTAATCTGTGTATAATAATTTATCTTTATTCAGCTGAATAATTATATATTTTTTTTGCTCTAGCCAGTTTGGTCTGACTGGATCTTCAGAGCAACATATCTTTTGAGCAATAGGATTAAATGTTGTATAGTAAATAAAATAGTTATTTTTGGTTGTCTGTAGTGTCTTTATATTTTATTATTACTCAATAAAATAGTTGTTGATGTATAAAGACTTCTTTCTTTCTTGAAATCTGTATTGACAACGCTGCTAGAGTTATATGACTAAATCTGTGAATTGATTTTGATCTGGGATGTTTTGTTTTTATAATCATCAAATTCTATTGAATTTAAATCTGAACAGAAAGAATATCTTATTGTATTTCTTTGTAAATTTCCATGAGAATTCAATGGGAGTTTTCAATTACTAGATAAAATACTGAAGACTCAATGGCTATTGATGTATTGTTTAAATAATTTTAAATTCCATACGGAATAACTGAGAGATCTTAATCTGGACATTTTTCAGCTTGAAACTCTTTCAATTATTTCACTCTCCTTCTAATATCTCTGTCACAAATATTCAATCTTCGATATGTGTACGCGCACATTATATTTTTATTTTCTTATTACAAATAATTCGTTCACAACAAGTAACAAGAGAAACTGAAGTTTCAGAAGAATGCTAATTTTAATACATTCCATATAACACGCAAAAATAGAGCGTTGACAAGAAAACATAACAAACAAGAAACAAATGACCTATAAGTGTGTATCATACTTGATAAAAAAACATCGCGTTATCTGCTTTATTGGGATGTTAAATAAATAAAAAAATATCCTAAAACTTGTGCTTGTTGTTGTTGTTATTATTTTTCTGTTCGTATTTATTTAAAAATTTTTCCTTGATTAAACGTTTTTCCTTTATGTTCACCTTCCCATGCAAAAAACTGTTCGACCATTTTTTTTGTTTTTTCATCATCCGGATTTAATTTTGTCCACGTATAAGATTCATAATCTGTTTGCCAATCAGGCGATAACTACAAACACAGAAACATTAACAAATTTAAAGAATAGATGACTTGATAATTCAACTTATCTATACGTACCTCAAACGCCAGTCCTTGTCCTCGCCATGTCCAAACACCAGAAATAGTATTGTCTTTATCTTTGCCCCAAACGCACATACTGGCAAAGGCATTTTTGCGTAATTTTTCAAGACGTTGAAACATGCCTAGAACACATATTTTTAACTAAGCTTTTCCGCATGACTCTCCATGCTAGAAGCATCTAAATTAAATGAAGGCATCTAATTTTAAAGCATGTTTCTCTCTCTCTCTCTCTCTCCCTCTCTCGCTTCTTCACAGTTAATTCTGTTTTTAGATACACACATTTTGTACTCAAAAGGGTGTCATCGTACCTGCTACAAGATTGCATGTCATAAATATTTGACCAAGATCTTCGGGATATTTATATTCACATTGCCATAGTGAATAATTTTCTTTATCAAAATGACTCCAAAAATGCGGTATGGCTTTTGTAACAGTATCTTCATTTGAATAAACACGTTTAAACTCGTCCATATTAAACGTTCCCTTTGCCATTTCAGCAAATGGATCTTTTTGTTTCGGTTCTTGTGCTAAAACGTCATCCATTTCATCTCCACCTTGATCATCCCCATGTTCCTGTTCATCTTTCGGTTTAGATGTTCCTTTTTGTTTAGCTGGTTTTTCACCTTGTGCTTGTTGTTGTGATTTTTTCTCATCTCCTTTTTTATCTTTTGTGGATTCTTGGTGATGTTCGTCACGATGTTGAGAATGCTGTTGAGAATGTTCAGATACTTCAGCAAATTTTTTTGCTATAAGAATTTAAAAACAATTAGACTCACAAATTGAACTCAAAAAATAGAAAAAACATACGATCAAATTGTGCCATTTTTTCACATAGTTTATAATCACCAATCACTGTTTTAACTTCATCCTGATGAATTAAAGTCAGAAACCATCTTGTTGTGTTTGGATACAATGTACGTTGAGCGGGTTCAACAATCTGAAAGGAAAAAAGGTCCAAAGTTTTAAATAGAACTAATGATTTTGATTAAAAAAGTAAAAGAAACGTTTCTAGCATTGGTTAAAGAATATTTAAATGTGGTTATGATTTGACTCCATCTGACACTTATGGAAAACTCGATACTAATATTATCTATTTAATAACACTACTTTACTCAAGAAAACCACTCGAACACTGCTTAACTAATAAGAATTTTAATAAGAATATTTTTTTCGCTCTCTTCAATTGTACTTTAAGAACTAAATACCCATTGAAACAATAATAATAAATCGCAAGCAACAACAATATCAGCTAGTGTAATACGTTCACCAGCAAGATATGTTCTTGTACGAAGATATTCATTTAATAGATGTAAAATATGTTTAAGTTCATCTTTGGCTCGTTCATGATTCAATTTATTAAACTGCATAATACCCATACAAGGATAAACTAGAGTAGCTGATACTGGTATGATTTCTCTTTCAGCATATTCAATCCATTGTATTACAGATGATTGTTCCTCTAATGTTTTGCCACGTAATTGTTGATTTGACACTAAAAAATATATAAATGAATATTAACGCTTCCAATTTATCTGTCCTTTTCTAATTTCAGGACTACAGAGTCTGCTATCGTCGTCACATACGTACAATAATGGGCGATGGCATTGCATTCAAACAAACGTACACCGGCATCGTTTTCATAGGCAGGTACCTTCAATAATATATAAAAATATATAATAACTACCCCCTATTATAAACTATTGTCTGATATTACTTTTCCAGTTGGGAATTTTTTCAAATATTCTTCGGATTTGTTTGTTTCGTTCATTTTAAATTTATCAGTAGATGCAACAGTTAACCGTGCACCACTGTATTGTGCAGCGATTTGTGCTTTATATGCACGAAAATTCCCTGGATAGGTATAGAGTGTCTAAACATAGATAACAAAAGTTTTACAGAAATTGTCTTATGTTGAGGTGATTTAATGGGGACTTACGCCATTGCCAGTGTTAGACATTATTAGAAATGAGATACAAGATGAAGAATAATCTAAAATAGAGAAACGCCGATTTTTATTAGAGATTATTACAAACAAATATGGAATAATCTAATTGAAAATGACACTTTCACAGTTAGAGTTAAAAACGATCATCATCGTCTTCGTCAAGGAAAATATGGAATTGTACTTAAAAGCAATAGGTGATATTTGATATATATAGAGGAGGATACTTTGGTAAGTGTATATATATTCTCATACTGAAGTAAAGGTTTAGCTGATAAAAAATAATTTGAGATTTTCAGAATTAACTATGATGCTACACTAGCTTACACTGTTATTTTAAAACAATAACTCGCTGACAATAAACTATCATCAATAAGGAGGTTCGTGTAATAAATGTTATTTGTTACGTGTCTGCGTCCTGGTTTATACTAATGGTCCAATGATCTATAGATTTTACTTTGTTGAGTCATTTATTTATTAAGATGGGGTGTTTCCCGCTAGCGTCAATAAACAGGCTATTAATATCTCTGTTAAATAAATGTCAATGATAAAGAGGAGGAAAACAAGTCGAGATAGTACAAAACGATCGAACTTTTTTTCTTTCCATAAACTATTTGGTGACTACCTCTTTATACTGTTGTGTGTAACAACTACTTGTTAGATTTTCCGATACCTTTTTCTTTAGATTATATTGGAATCATAGATATATTTGTATCATTGTGTTTAATCAAATCAAAGCTTCTGCAGGAAATAAGGTGGATGACAAATAAAAGCTCCTTTTTTTCCTTTCTGTGTTCGGAGCAGAAATGTTTCTTCATATAGGAGAATAACTCGTTTTCATTACTCTGGGATTTCTCAACTTTCAGTTGATAATGTCTGTCTATATGCGTTTTACTCACTCAGATGATGAATGTGATTACAGTAAAAAGTGACATAATTCTTTTCTCTGTTTTGCTTTCGTTTTTTACGATTACCTGTAGATCTCAGACATTTCAAAAGTATAGCGGAATCTAATATTGAATTTGATTTTTACAGTCACAATTTCGCATTAAATATTTTATTTTGAATCTTGGCGGTAGTTTTTCTCTCGATGTATCGATTTGATTATTTACTGTTTTAGATTAGCACTTCTCTAGTCGAAAAAATTTGTTAAATCTGATAAGAATTTTATTGGTTTCTTAAGAATTTCTTAGATAAGACACAAAACTAATAAGAAATCCACTGGTTCTAGTAAGAAATTTATAAGCATCTTATACGATACTCATAGGAAATCATAAGACTTCTTTGAAAAGCTTTTTAATCATTTTTCAACCAGATTTTGGAAACTAATGTCTCTTTTAAGGGGCCCTTCATGTTTTGATTACTTTGGAACCTTAAGAAAACGTTTTATTTTTGATCCCTCCAGAAAAGTAACTTTGAGAAGTTTTATACACGAACAAAACCTATCGATTTTAGGCTTCGAGAAATGGAAACGTGTTTGCTGGAGGGAAGAGAAAACCTTATTGAAAGATAATATAAATTTTAGAATAGACATGATAAATGCTTTTAGTCTTTCATCTTTTTTTGGTTTTCTAACGTCTTAGATTCGGAAGAAATATAGGGAATAAGTTTTCTTTATTTACTGATCGTGGGATTCCAAAGACAATGTTGTTTCGCAATGTCATTTTAAAATAAGCATATGAAATATAGTGATTCCGAGATTTAGTAGTTATAACATAGATTGTCAGGATATAATATAGTACGCAGATTCGGTCTCTGCCACGGATCATACATGTTTTCTTTTTTGTGCAAAAATTGCATGAAACTCTCAGTTCAAACATCTAATTCTTTTAGATACTTCCTAGTAGATAAAATAGTCTTTTTTAAAATCCTTTTGAATATATAAGATTCCTATAAATTTCTTACCAGAACCACTAGATTTCTTATCACTTTCGTGCAACTTCTTATATAGGAAATTGGTAAGAAACTTATAAAATTTTTGTAAGATATTTACCTGGTTCTTGTCTCATCTTCTTATAGAAGTCTTGGTAGATTCGTATATAATAAACAATCTCTAAGGTTCTTTCTAAATTTGAAATTATGCCTCGTAGTCGAAGTAAAAGTCCAAGAGGTAAGAATAAGAGAGTCACAATTTTTGTTTTAGTTTTGTTTTAAAACTATGTTTATTTTTAAGAACGATTTGATCGCAGATATCGTGGCGGTACTAGTCGCAATATAGAATCAAGACGAAGACGTTCACGTTCACGATCACCCATTCGAGAATATGATCGAGATCGTCGAGATCGTAATCAACGACAACGTACAAAATCGCGTTCAACATCACCAAAAGCATTTCGCGGTGAAGCATTTGGAAATAAATTAGTTCGATCATCAGATAAAAAAAGTGAAAGATATGAACCACCGAAAAGAATATTTGATCGTAAGTACTCTCAAAGATTCTACTATTTTTATTGAATTGGGAAAAATTATGTTTTAGCATCGGAATTACAAGGAAAAACTGAAGACGAAATTGAAATGATGAAAACAATGGGATTTGCCACATTTGATACGACGAAGGTAAAACTGCTCCTATTTAGTTTAATCTAAAATGGAATAACAACAAAAAATAAAAACTATCATTTAAAAAAAACAAAAGGAAATTTATTCTTTGATCAATAAAGTCTGTTTTATTTATTTAGGGTAAACATACGGAAGGATCAACAAATGCATGGGGAGCTAACATACAACAAAAACGGCGTTACAGGTACTCTCCCTTACTAATAAAATGTGTCTAAGATGACAAAAGAGAACTAGTTGAAGGAGAGAGATATTAATTTTTGATCAAGCATAAAGTAGTGGAAAAAAGTTTAGAGACAAACTTGTTTTTTGTTCTTTCTCGTGAACTCTAGTTGCTACAATAAATCTGAGGATAGGTTCCTACAGCACAGACTTCGATGTATGTGTATATATTATCAAGAATTTCAACTTAACTTTAATCTGCTTAGGAAAAAGCTTTCCCAGAAATTCAAGATTTTCAAAAGCCCTACTTTCTAAAAACTTAATGCAAACATTTTTTCCATCATTCAGTAAGATAGAGAAAAGACTTCTCTTCAAAACGAAATATTCCGGAAAACTTTTTTCCTAAGCAGATTAAAGTTAAGTTGAAATTTTTGAAAAATATATATACACACGTCGAAGTTAGTGCTGTACGAACATATTCTCAGATTTATTGTAGCTACTAGAGTTCACGAGAAAGAACAAAAACAAGTTTGTCTCTAAACTTTTTTTTCCACTACTTTATTTATTAGTCTTGACATGTTCGATTCTTTTGGAGCAATGCAAAAAGAATAGTGTTTTTAAAGGTGTGTCAGTTGTTCATCATAATTAGTTAGCTATCATTGGATATCCTTATTCCTAGCAAAAACTTTATTTATTTTTTAAATGCTGTTTAACTGATTTTTGTTTTTTGTTTTCTAGACAATATATGAATCGAAAAGGTGGTTTCAATCGTCCATTAGATCCTATTGCGTGAACAACACAGAAATAATCAAAACAAATTTATTCCTATGCTTATCTTAAACTCTGACTTTTCTGATTTTGCTGTATATATTGACTCTAAACAGCGATATAGGTGCGAGAAAATTTTTTTTGACTTTTATTCAAAGAATTTTGATAAATTTGAGATTTGTTATTCGTTCTAGACAAACAATTTCATCTTCAAACAACATGTCGTTTGGTTGTCAGAAGCAGCAGCCACTTGATAGCAGTTCGCCTATATTGAACATTTTTGAATGTAATAAGATCATACTGTATCATTATAAAATGTTTGTCGTTGAGCAAAATAAATGATGTTCTTTGTATTGGATGTTTTAAATGTTAATCGTTCATTTATTGTAATAAATGGAAACTCTCTGTTGCGTTAATCGCATCTCAATGGATTTCAATAAGAAAAATGACGTAGAGAGAAAAACAAGAATAAAATTTGAAGAACTCGATCTTTCTGATTTAATCAACCCCATCGAAACTTATTATAATTTTCCAGTCTGAAAAATCTATTTTTCTCGTTTTTCAGATGGATCCACTGTATTCATCACATGGTGTCAACAAATTTAGTACAAAATTATTTGTTAGCAATTGGTTCCGGTCCTATATCACTTCATGATCCTTCTAAAGATGGTACACATTTTTAATTTTTGTTTTATTGCATTTTGCTCCTATTTATCTACTTATTTTTTATGTTAAATGTAATTTCAGTTGTCGATCAAACGACTGGATTGTTAATCTCGAAATACCTTCAAGAAGAATGAAGATCAGTTCAGAGGGTGAACAAATTTTACGTCTGGTTCACTTTATTTACTTCAAATTTCATATCTTATTCAATCTTTCTCTTTTCCGTTTCCGTTTAGTGATCAGCTTGTAATAAACTTCGCTATAGTCGACTCTAAACAATTAAAAATTTTGCATGAAGGCACATTGGGAAAAGAATATATGAATTTCTTTTATTGAAATATGCAAGTGTACAATTCTACAAGAATTTAGCGAGCTTTATTTGTTTCTATTCGTTACTAACTTACATTTCCTATAAAGATTTCAAGAAACAGTTAACACGTCCGACTTGTTAACTGTTACTTTCTGTTAATGAAACTACTTTTTATCTACTTTTCTCATCGAGGATATGTGAAGTTACAATCAGATGATTTGAAGGTGTCCATATTAGTCGCATCTTTTGACTCTCTTACATCAGATCCAAAGTACATATTTTTCACTTTTTGTAGGAATGCAGCTAGCTACATAGTTGAATATTACTTTAACATGAATAGTTCGATCGACTCGTCAATCACGTCTACTTTCATAAACTGAAGAAGTTTGAACTAACGGTACATATTCATCTAGATTAGTTATTGTAATCAATGCATTTAGTGACAATATGATTGGTTAACAGTAGAAATATACATTCTGTCAATTTCAAAATTATTTCTGAGTGGTGGCATAGTTCTTTAGTTGTGATAATTTTTCTCTTAGTCAGAATGTGATAAAAGAAAAATTAATCGACAGTCAGTCAAAGTTAGTCTGTCTGTCTTCTACTTTTATTTGTGTGATGTGTCATAGATGTTGTACTAATATGGCAACAGTCTGAAAGAAACTACTGTTTGACGGATTTCTTTTCTTTTCTTCTTATTTGATGTGTATACGCAAATATACATCTATTATCTTTGTAGAAAATCAAATTGTTCTGTATTAACTTAATTCTTCAATAACTAAACATATTTATGAAATAAAAAACACTGTATGAGTGAGTGTCTTTATTCAAAAACTTGAGTAGACGAGAAGAAAAAACAAAACAGAAATTTTCTTTTTTTTTTTCTTCTACAAATAGATACTGCATCATCCTCATTATCATTTGTAGTGAAAAAACAGCAATGTGTTTTTTACAGTCAGATTGGTACAGAGGGATAAATATTCACCAGTATAAGAACAAAACATTTTTATACTAATTTTTTGTAGGATTATATAATATATTCATTTTTTGATAAATGACAAAAACTGAAGAAGCAGAAGAAAAGAAAAGTAATCTTGATTTTGTATACATTGTGTGTGTGTGTGTGTATGCCTTTTTTATGTGTGATAAAACAGATCATATAAGTAATGAAAAAACTCGAACAAGAATGAGGAAAAGACTAAAAGACGAGAAAGAGAATATTATAAATGAGGACTTACTACATGGTTGTTTTCATTTACTCTTATATGTCAAAAAACACCAAACTAAAAAAATAGGACGGAAAGATGTTTTTCTTTACTCTCTTTTTTATATTGATACACACATTATATGCGTATGTCAAACAAGATGATTTAATATCTATAATTTGAAAAGAGAAAAAGATTTTTGTTGCCCTGTTTTTCAATGAATTAAGGGTGTATAACAAACAATTACTTAAAAGAGATTTTTTAAAGTTTATTTAAATATAATTAGTGACCAGTGATGGTTCGAAGAGTAAAGAAAGTTTTCACTGTAAACATTTTTACATAGTTAATCTTTGATACATTTTGTGAGGAAAATTTTTTGCAATTTTTTTTTGTAAACGAATCTGAAACGAAGGTATATGTCAGTATGTGGTGACCTCTCTTGAATTGTTGGTTGTGTTTTTCTTGTACACCCGGTTAAGAAAATATTTTTTCGTTAAAAACTCAATCGTGTCGGAAAGAAAGTTTCAGAGAAATGTATGCTGTTAACATTTATGAAGACGTTTGTTCTATATTATTATTATTACTACTATTATTATTATTATTATTATTATTTTAGTTTTCTTATCATTTAATCGTATTTTATTGATTTTTATAATGAATAGATTTATAAATAATCATTTCAATAGAGGAAACAGTAGCATTCGTCAAACTAAAGTAGCTTGGATGATCGCTCACAACATCGTCTATATCTAAACATAAAATTACAGGTTTGTGTTGGTTATTTCAATAGAAATCTTCCAAGAAGACAGAAATTCGTGAGGGATACGGTATGCTCTTGAAAACCCCAAACATCTATTTATAGGTCTCGTAACCTAACGACAACCTGAAGATCTTCGCTCTCGATATTGATTACTCCAAAGTCAGATCGAAGTCTCATTTTTGGAACCCTCGCAGATTCTCGAAACCTAAATTATATTTCGATTACTCAAAAAATCCCTTGGATGAGTGACTGTGTCGGCTTAGTTAAAGGAAAGAACGATGATGAATCGAGTGGTTATTTCCTTGAAGTATATATCACGTAAATAATCAGAATTTATGCTTAAAATATTTCTTGTCTATACGTCTCAAAAGCAAATTAACAGCATAATAACAGTAACCATATAAAATATCGAAAGGTTATTATATTCAAGAAATATCCACAAATTTTGATATGTTTTATCTTTTTGCTATCTATATAAATATATGTTTTTGATGGCTGTTCTTCTCGATGGTGGTAATAGTAAGAGTGATATGGTTGTTCATTCATTGTTGATTCTTCACTTCCACAATCCATAAACATTATGTGTACGTGGTGATGATTGAATTTAAAGAGAGAGAGAGAGAGAGAGAGAGAGAGAGAGAATGCACACACAAAATTGAGAAAAATGGCCGTCACACATATATACATAAAACATAAACGGTCAATATGAGAAGAAGAAAAATTCCGATATGAACACCAAAAAAAACCACATACTAAACTTCGACGACTACCATCACCACAACCCTTTATATATGTACATATATGTATATCTCTTCTCTTCTCTCTCTCTCTCTCTTCTCTAATATAATCGTTGTTCTCATTTCGATTAGCATGTTTTACTTTGCATTTTCTTAAAAACATCACAATCAATGACTGTGTGTGTGTCTGTTAGTGGTGATGGTGTATCTAAAATAAAAAAAAAAAAGAAGAATAAGAAATAATAGAGAGGGAGAGAGAGAGAGTAGAAGTAAAGCGACATGATTTAGATTTACGGTAGAACATCTCGATGTGTCTCGATATATATATGTGTGTGTGCTCGGGGTTTTTTTGTCTTTGGATTGTTTTGTGTGTGTATGTGTTATTATTATTACAGAAACTTCTTTTTATTACACGACTACTACACTCTCTATGTAGATGTGCATATATATATTTTTATATATGTAAGATATAAATCTGCTTAATAATACATCAAAAAAAAATTTTGCGGCGTTTTGGTTAAATGCGAAAACCTAAAAATTGAGTTGTTCGCTTTAGATATTTATAATTCTCTCCTTTTTTTTCTGTTTTCTTTTGTCAGAACTCGACGTATCGGTGTACGTATACACACATTTACATCTCTACTTTATAATAAAATTCTGTGTGTTTTATATGATGTATACGATGTGACTTTTATAATTACTGACGGTGGTATAGTGATTAAAATCTTCTTCTCTTGGTGATTGAAATAGTTTTAAACCTTAAAACTACTTAAATATGTGATCTTCGTCACCGATATGCGAGAAAAATAGAACAATTTGTGATAATTGAGATTTCATTTATTTCTTCTTGTACAAAATGATGTCCTTCCATCTTGTACGCTTCAGATTTTTTAAGAAAATAATTCGTCCAATGAAGATTTTCAAATGTTTAGTTGTTTGAAACAAAAATATTGTTTCTCTCATCTGTTTGTATGCGTATGTGAATCAAATAGCTTGGAAATGTATACTATTTGCAAAATTGAGGTTGGTGAACCGTACGATGACATATTTAGAGTTGTTGAAAAGGTCTGTATCTGAATAGTCTGTATGTTAGATGTAATAATATTCTTATCTTGTCAAAGAAAAAACGCTTGAATATCGGAAAACATTTCTGTAAGTTGTTTCATTTAACATGATAACGTCTTTTGATTAAAAGACCAATTTTCGAAACAAAAATGAAACAAATTACTTCGATGCAAAAAATACACTAGTAGAGAAAATCTATAATTTTTTTTTATTTAAATTTTTATCATATAGAACAGTTTTCTCTAAAGAAATTAAGCTGTAAGGTTTATTTTTAATATCATGTTCTCGTATCTAATACTAGCAAAAAATCTGTAAGCTTTTCCTGTTGATTTAAATAATTCGTTGCCGTTGTTTATTCCTAACATTTTTTCCGTTCAACAACTAAAATTCTTGACTTCTCTTTTAAATAAACAGTAAAAATTCATTAATTTTCTTTTTTAACAAATTTTTTTGCGATCAAGTTAAGTTGATTTTTTCTCTTTAGTAGGAGGGCTTCGACTTTTTTTTAAAAAAAACGACTTCGTCGAACGAACTTATTTACAGATTTTCAAATGTTTAGTCATTTAAGAATGAAATATTATTTCTCTCATCCACTTGTGTATATGTGCGAATCGAATAGCTAAATGTACAAAATATAGGAGCAATAAAAATATTTTTCAACATGAAATGATTTGTCTTCTTACTACATATGACTAGCATGAAAATGAAGAAGAAGAAAAAAGGACATTCGAAATATTTTTTCAAAGAAAAAGTATTGTCTCTATAGTGCTAAACCCACGTAAGTGTGTTTATATATTGTATTCATTTACTTATTGCATCTTCGATGAATATACTAGTTAAGTCGATTGAATGAACCAAAAGAAGACTTTCTTGCTTTTAATCATAGAACATTTTTCTTTCTATCTCTCTATCCAGCCATTTGTTTTCAATGATGTTTGATCGTATAAATTTAGGAAAAAGATGTTTCGAGTCTCCAACAACTGTAGATAGTTAAACGATCTGACGTTCTTTTCATTATATATTTAAATTGATTTATAAATTAGTTCAAGACGATGAGCACATTTTTAGAGAGTTTCCCATTTTATTCTACTAGATAATCAATAGTTATGTGATACTCTTCAATAACGTGTATAGCTTTTTTTAGACGACAATTGACCTCTAACTACCCCTCAGATCAGCGGTTTGACACAGCTTAATGAGTCACTTGATCGATGCGACATGTGATATGACGTCTTCACATTTGTTACTATATATTCACAAGTACAGTTGCAATTCTTTCTGTTCAGAGTTTTCTTCGTTTTCTAACTCTTTAACATTTGTTTCACTTTGGTCGACTTCTAATCTTTACGAAACACAATTGGCCTCTAGTCTTGTTCTCTCTCTCTTTCTCTTATTCATTATTATCATTATCTTATTATTTCTTCAAGAACAACAAAAAGAGAAGAATGAGATTTTCGATAAATATGAAGATATTGTTTTGTGTTACTGATGTTGTTTGAGTGTGCTTCCGGTTAATTGCGGTCGGTCGAATCATCGATGGTCGGTTTATGATTTTCTTCGTTTTTTTTTTTCTATTGCTAAAATTGAGAATATGTATGCATACATGCATATTTGACATTCTTCTTCTGTTCCCTTTATTATTATTATTATTTACTTTTTGATCTATCCTTCTATTTTGAATATAAACCAAACTCGACTGTGGTTGCTGTTATTAGTCATACTCTTATTTTTTTATTCATATCTACATTCGCCTTATTATTATTAGTAGTATTTTCAGTCATCATCATCAACATCGTTTGATTAGAAATACTTAATGTTCGAACAAATGTCTGCATTATTTTTAATATTTTTCTCTTCTCTTTTTTTTTTCTTCCCTATATCATTGTCTGAAAGAAGTGAAAAAAAGCAATATTATTATATATATAAACGATGTCGTGTATGTATTGAAAAAAGATGCACTTTTTTGCAATTTGTGTGTGCGGTGTTCTATAGTTATATTTTTACATCTATCCCACTACTTATAATAGAAGTTTTGTTTCAATATGTTCGTCTTCTTCTTACTCTTCTTCTTCGGTGTGTGTGTGTGTGCGTTGCTACTATTACTACTGAATAATTTATTATTATTATCCTTTTCTTTAGAGTATTTTTTTTATACAACTCTATATATTGATTTGTGAATCTAGAACTAGTCAGGGTTTAGAATATCGAAGCTGCTATCACGTTAAAGTTTTTTCATTGTTTTGAATAGATTGTAAATAGGTCTAAGAACGCTAAAATTAGTTAATCGCACAGCTATTAACAGTGATTGTGGCTCAGTTATGTATCTGTAGACGCTATTGATAAATAGAGTTGAAATGTGATCTATTTTGATACATGTATAGATGTAGTATAATTGAAATACACCATCAGAAAACATACGTTTAACAGATTACAGATTAACCGTAAATTAACTCAAAAAATCAAGGTAATTCGTAGAAAAAGCTATGATAGCACCATATTTTTTATTTGTCTCTATGATTTTTTAGATAACTGCACAGAAGTGAATGACAGCCGATTTTTTGCTCTGCCAAAGTGCGGATTATCTGCGCGTGATCATCGTGAAAAAAGTTGTCAAATTCTATTAATTATACTTCTGTCTTGTATCACTCATCTGATCTACTAACTAGAATATGGATACTGAACCCTGAACCCATTTAGAGATCAAAACCTATGAAATGGACATATGACTTCACTGTTAAACATCTACGTATTTAGATAGGAAAAAAAAAATATTCATATAGAGACGGATATGACGGATTAACAGTATAACGACTACATGACGAGCTAAGCAAAAAGTCTAGTTCATCTCCTACCTGTTCTCTTGAAATCTCTTATTCGATCGTCTCTGCTTCTCGTTCACTTCTGCAATGATATGCATAGATTAGCGTGAAAGAGCAGTTCTCACATCCTTTAGTACGGCAGGACTATCCTTGATTATAAAACGGCATTGATAGCATCTGTTCTCGATCGTCTATTAGCTTATGTTATTAATCGAGTTAAGCAAATAGTTGAATGACTGTTTTTCCATGATGATTGCAACGATCTTGTATTGTGCTCACTTGTGTTGTTCTAGTAATCATACGGTTAACGACTGACAAATGACTACACTTTTGTATTTTCGAACTCTCATGTCTTTCTCATGTTCAATGTCTCTTTAAACTATGTTTTACTTTTACTTTTAGATGTTTAAACGGAAGAAAATTTAGTGTAACTCCGTGTGTGTGTGCGTGTGTGCGCAGATTTTTCCTTCTATACACTTTCCATTGTTTTTTATACAAAAACTTCTCTTATAATAATTGGTATCATATTTTTTCTTCTTCACAATCAAAACGACGTTGTACAGCTATATTAATTTATCTTCTATGTCGTCGGTTTTAACTACTACTACTAGTGTTGATGTTCAAATAAAAATGTTTAATTATACTAATTTATGTTGGCTTTCGTTTTCATATTATAATAATGTTCGTATCGAACTAGTAGTCATCGTCTAAAAACATTACTATTATTGCCATCGTCATTTTTATATTTCTTTCGGCACAAATTATTAATTACACCTTAGTAAAAATGAAAATGCAATGATGGATGAAGAATCGTCTAAGAAAGAAAATCGTAATGAACAACTGTCGTTTAATAGTAAGTGTCTGTCTGTTTTTCTACTTTCCATGTGTAAGAATTATATCTTGCATTAGAATTGAGTGGGTGTTATAAATACCGTATATTTGGTAAAGATTGAGATCTTTTGTTTGATTCATAATAATAGTTAAACAAATAAAAATAAGTTTTCTTAACTAAAAATTGATTTTCAACTATAGAAATGTATGTCCTGCCTCTTTTCTCATCATAGTTGTTTTTCTAGAGAAAACGATATATATATATATTTATTTGTGCGTGCCCCTTGATTTGTTAATAGGTTAATTATAACAGTTGTTCGTGCTTCTGATTCATTTCTCCCTATATGTTTGATGGAATGGAGTTATTTCTTCTTCTACTTCTTTCCTACTTACGCCGAACACAATTTTTCTTTTTTAAAAACAGAGAAAAACCTATCAATATGTTGACTTAACATGACAACTAATGTTATAAATGGACAATCAAAAAGAACAGAAGATGAAGAACAAGTAGAATATTTTATATTCAAAAAGTCAAACTGTAATGTTTGCCCCTTTCTCGCACTGTTTTTCATTTCAATGAATCTAATTTTTGAGAAGTTCATTGATTAAAAGTTATACATATATACACACGAACATACACATACAGGTTTATTCGCGCTTGTCTATAGAATAGATGATAAAGAAACGATACCGTTTGACCGATAACCTTTAAAAGAGAAAAAAGGTATTATACTGAACAAATGCCGATTTTTAAAATGACAGAATGTATAATTGTAATATAGTACTTCAATTCATAACGTAATATATCTATACTTCAATAAAATATATGCAAACTTCTAACGAAAACTGTATTAGAATTTTTTTCGACACATTCTACTATATACTCTATTAAGAGTCTTTTTATACTTCGCGTAACACCTGTATAATGAATTGTCATAATTGCTTTTTTCATTTTAGATCTACCTTGGACTTTGCCATTGAGTTTTGCACCAATGTCATCAATGTCATCATTTCCATGTTTACCTTCACCATTCGGTGGTTTACCTAATTTTCCATTAAACACTTTTCCTACGGGATTTTCTACTCCATCATTGACGCCTACATCAACATCGTCATCGACAACGCCTTTGTCAACTGGTAAGGGAATGCTATTTTCATCTAAAAATAAATTTTTTCAGTTATTTCTTGTAGAAAGTACCGATGTATGGCAACAGGTAAATGATTTATCACGAAATTCAAATGTGGACTATAATGAGTATGCAAAACAATTGAATTATTTAATGAAATTGTTCACTGAACAGTCGCAGACACAAGCACCATCTCTTCTTACACCACAAGTTCTGCAAGAGTCATTAACATCATCAGATAAACGAGAATCTTCGAAATGTATGTCGCTTTAGTTTCGCGTTTTTTAAATTAAAATTATTGTTTATTTTTGTTTCCAGCTGTTAAACATCCAAATAAACGGACCGAAATACCAGCAACTGAAATGAATGGCAAACATCATACATCGAAAACGGACGATAATCGATCAACTTCCACTTCGTCTACCTCTTCGTCACGTAAATCATCTACAAAACAACGTTTACCTACGACTATTGATCACAAATCCGTTTCAGTTAGTCCTAGTCTAACAACTACATCATTATCACCTTCACAACGTTCGTCACCATCGGCGATGTCACTATTACCGACCGTAGCAAATGTATCGAAAAATCCTTCATCTACTGCTAGTCCAGCAACAACTCTAAATACACCCGGTTTAGATCAGTTAGCATCATTTGGTACTGGATTTCCATTTCCTTTTTTTCTACCGTCATTTTTACCCACAGCAACAGGACAAACAAATTCTAATACACATACTTCTACGCCTCCAAATCCTTATGCATCTTTACCATTTTCGTCGTTATCTTCGACTTTATTGAATCCAACTGCATTATATCCATTTTTTTCACCGGAATGGTTCCATTCCAAACTATTAGATAGTTATGGAAATTTGACAGATAACACTAACAGTAGCACATCAACAATCAAATCTAATGATGACAGTAAGCTATACAAATGATTATTTTAGAATAAGTAAAGTACAATCTGTTTATTTCTATTCTTATTTTAGATAATAAAGATGTTAATCATCAACAAACGGTAAATATCAAATTTTGTTATACTAGCGTTATCTTTCTTTTTCCTATATTTTTATTACAGACTAGTCTAATAAGGTTTGTTAGTGTGCGCGCTCTATTATGCTCGAGGTGGCTATTTATTGCTACTTGTTTATTACACGTTTTTTCTTTATATTAGTTTCAAGTTTTTTGTTTTATCATTTAGACAAAGTCAAATCAAACTACGAAAGTTAAAAAACATAATCAACATGTACCACTTGATAATAAATCAATTCCAGCATTGAACTCTCTGATGAGTGAAACAAAAGTAAGAAAAAGAAGAAAATTTCTTTTATAATAGTCTATCTCAAATAAACATTTTCTGGATATTTAGCCAAAAAAACGTGCAAAATCTATACGCGCTCTTACCGAAGAACAGGAGTTATACGATATGAATAATAAAGTATCATCAAAATATCCACAAATAAATGCAAGTGCAGAGGTAAGAGATAGAGAGTTGATGGTCATTTTGAAGAGATACTTTACTAAGTATTGTACTAATTGACAATTTTAACCTAAATGAGAGAACATTTTGTGAATAGTGAAAAATAATATCTTCGGGCAATGATTTTTACTATAATTCTAGAAAAATCCCATCTTAAACAGTCATTCTGATCAACGTATACGCAGTAATAATAATTCAACATCTACCGTCAATTCTCCAAGTCTTCTTCATTCAGCTTTGGTAAGTAAGGGATTTAACATTTTTTCCATCTAATCATACTAATACTAACTTTAGATGAAATCATCGCTATTAACTAATTCGTTTACTCATCATGATGTTGTTCTTTCACCTTCGATCAATTCTTTTTCTTCTTCACCATCAGCTTCACTTTACGATCCTATATTTGCTCTGACATTAAATCAACAATTTTCCTCTAAAAAAGCTTCAAATAGGAGTAGTAGTCATTCTCGTTGTGATCAAAATAAAATACGTGATTTATTACAACAACGTGATAATCAACAACAACATTCTTTATTTCATGATCTTCCTCGTGAAATGCATCAGCGTCAACAAGAATTAGACGATGAAAATAGTAAATCGTATAATTCTATTTTGTTTGATGACCTCTATTATAATCAACAACAACAACAACAAAATAATTCATGGATATTTCAGCCAGTTAGAGATTCGATCGATGATGTGAGACCTTGTTGTTGTTAGCAGTGTTGTTCTGTTCTTGTACTTATTGCTTTTCTCTGTCTTGTGTTTGCACCTTCCTTATATGTTTCTAATATTACTAATCTACTCATATTTGCTATTCAGAGTGAACCATCGAATTCAAATGGTCGACGAAGTAGTGGAACACTCACTCCAACTCAAACGAAGGCAATTAGTCGTACCCCTGTGACTCCATATGCCGATGAATCACGATCAGCTGACGATGGTAAGAACTATTCTATTTGTTTTGTTCCTATTACATGTTATTTATGTTTTGCTCTAGATGATTCGGAGGCTAATTCTCGGAAAAGACGTAAAACCGAAGATGTCAATGAAGAATTAGTACGCATTCCATTGAATCGCTCGTAAGTATGAAGTTCTTTTGTCGAATAAAGATAGAAAAAAGTAACGCTAATTTTACTTAGTTGGAAGCGTGTGACTGTTGTACGTGCAATAACACGAACTGGTGTACGTGGTGATGTTTGCTATTATGCACCTTGTGGAAGAAAATTACGTTCATTTCAAGAAATTGATCGAGTATATACAATGAAACAAGATTTCCTGTTCTATAGAAAATCCTCACTTTCTGTTTTATTTAGTATTTATCGCGTAAATCTATTAGTGATTTAAATCGATCTCACTTTACTTTCTCTTCAAAAATACATATTGGATTATTTCGTGAACCAAAACTTGATCAAGATGGAAAGGTAAACCATTAGAATCACTTCTTCCTATATTTTTCTTTATCCCTATTTTTTTTTCTATTTTAGACAATATTTGAAGATTATAATGAAGATGAAATTTATGACCGTATTCTCGCAATAAATCCAAAATTTCATCGTATGAAATGTGAATATGATGAAATAAAAACGAATTATTCAGTTGAAAGTCCTCCACCATCCGTTTCAAGTAGTACAAAAGAATTGCCTACAAATAACATAACAATTGAACAACACGATATTGCTCGTCAAATATTCGATAGTGCAAAATTACGTTTAGAACAAGAAGGTACAAAAACTTGTTTGATACTTTACTCATGAGATACTAGAAAGATGAATAAAATCTTAATTAAAGTGAAAAATTGTACTGTATTATAAAGAATGTGAAATCTTAGGATGTATTTATCATCTAACATATATGTTAATCTTATTTTAGAATTAGCAAAACGAGCCGTTGATATAAAAAATAAACGACAAATAGAACGTGAAGCTAGACGACAGATGCAATTATTCAAAGATGTTAATCAGCAAAAATCAACAACATCCGATTCACACAATACTAACAATAATAAACTTCATCATCATCAACAATTGCAACAAAAAGATTTTCTAAAAGCTTTAATTGAACAGCAAAAGTTACAGCAAGAATTAGAACATCAAAAACAAATGCAACAAGAACAGCAAGAACAAGAACGTAAACGACAAGAATTGTTTTATATGAAACAAATGGAACTAAAAAAACGACAAGAAGAAAAATTGATGTTATCTGAACAACGAAAAGCAGAGAAAAATGCTATTCGTGAAAAAAAAATTGTATGTGAACTTTCTATCTATTAACAATTGATTATGTGATTGTTTGTTTGTTTTTAGCAACAAAAGTATATGGAGATTGTTCTTGCTAAAGAGACGAAAAAAGTTGCTGAGGATATGATATTAAAAGATTTGAAAGTAGGCTACATGGAACCAATATTAGAGAATAGTTTTTATATCTTTTTGCTGCCTTTTAGCCGTTACCAACATTGAAAGCAGTTGAAAATATTCGCTTATCAGTCGATGCATTTGCTAATTGCTTGATGGTTATTGAATTTTTAAATAATTTTAAACAAATACTCAACATACGTATGTTAAAAACTAGTTGTGCATTGATTATATAATAACTGGATGTTATTTGTTTGATTTTAAGCTGATAAAGCCATTCCAACCCTAAATTGTTTACAACAAGGATTATTAACAAATATTGCATCGGCACCGACTACTCGAGATATTAATTCTTTATGTCAAATATTATTAAAATTAGCATTAGATGATCCTGGCATACCAAACCCAAAGAAAGGTTTAACTAATTTAGGACAAAAATTATCCGAAGTAGAAATCAATGATTATACATTCAGTGAAATATTACGTTTATTTATGAGAGAGCGACATGGATTTGATGAGAAGGTAGGTTTTGTCACAGATTGTTGAGAGAGGGTACATTACTAAGTTTTTGCTCTTAATTGTTAACACCCATAAATTCTTGTATTGTTATTTTCAGTTAGCCGAGTGTTTAGCACAAAATTCATTTCACGCATTAAATGCTGATGAAAAAGCAGAAATTTTAGCATTTTTATGTAATGAATTATTATCAAATAAAAAAGTTGTTGAGTAAGTTATGAAAAAAATAATCTTCTTAAATGCTATAAGTTTTGTATTTGCTTTTTAGTGATATTGATCATCATCTAGATGAATTAACAACATTAAGACATGATAAATGGGAAATTGAGCGACGATTAAGACGAATGAAATTTGATAAAGGAAGCAAACGGAGTGATTCAAAATTAACAGTGCCAAAAGATAAAGATGGCTCAGATAATGATAGCATAAACGATGACGATAGTGACGGAGGTAAGTGTAAGGATCTGTAAATCGTTATTGATCAATAATTTTCTGTTGTTACTTTTTAGAATCGATGCGATGCGATGATGAAAATATTACTCCAACGACGACGACAGTGACTTCTATATTGAATAACGTTGATCCATTATCACAGCAATCGTTAGCTGTTCCACCGTCTTCGCCTACCTACGAAGATATCGAATCGATAGACGAGACAAAAATTGACGATATTGATAAACGAATAACAATTGTTACGAAAAAACATCAAATTGTTAAAAAACGTGTTATTGAAAAACAATGTAAAATACGTGCGTTACATCTTGGACAAGATCGTTATCGTCGACGTTATTGGTATTTTCCACAAATAGGCGGCGTTTATGTCGAAGGTTTAATGTCCGGTGATAAAACTCCAGCGGATGTACAGCTTTATGTTGAAAATATAACAAAAAGACGTTTAGAGCGAAAATACTCGGGACATGATATCGGACAGATGGCAAATACGCCTCTTTCATCCTCGCGAACAATTCAACAACGAAAATCTGATCTAAACAAATTGCCTCAAGACGATGTTAAGACAACTGCTATTCCTATAATTACTGACACAATTGAAAAAAAATTAGTCGAAAAGCCAACACCGGTGAATGAACGCGAAACAGAAGAAAGTTCGAATGAGACAAGTGATGACGACGGTGAGGATGATGCGGATAATCCTGAACGTGAGGAAACGAAACTAAACGGTCAAACAGTCACGTCGACATCAGGAATCGATGACGATCAAAAGTTATTAAATGACATACCATCGAATGACAATGATACAAATAGTGATGAATTAGCCACGATGGATTTAACGGCATTTTGTCTCGCTGTTAAACGCGAAAGTGCGGCAGCAGTAGCTGCGGCTACAGAACTTCAACAGCAACAAGACATAATCATAAAACCAATAGTTGAAGATGAGATAAAAACAGAGGGGCAACAACTGGAATATGAGCAAAACAATGAAGTGAATGGAGAAAAAGGACTCATTAGGTAAAATACTTAATTTTCATTCTCTAGGCAGCTTTTTTAGATAATTCTCTTTTTTTGTGCTAAAAGTTAGAATTATTAACAAAAGTACCGGAACTTTGTATTTCTCAAGCATCTAATTTCTGCTCTTCTATATTCCCTCAGTTTATCCTTTCGATATTAATTGTTGCATTTATCATAGTTATGGGAAATATTCGAACCAGGCGTCACTGATAAACACAATCGAGACTGCGACAACCATTAAAAACGAACCGTCATCGTTCGATCGTATCACGACTGATTTATTACATCTAAATAAACAAAAACTAACAAATTTACAGCAATCGGTTACTGATCACGTCGACGCATATGTACGAAATGATCAAAATAATAGTTCTCAGTTAAAAAAACGTTTATCAAACGATTCGTACGATAATAATGCTCCACTCGATCTCTCGTGTTCAAAACCAAAACGTCAATGTAAAAATGAGTACTGGATAAACGATAATATTAAACCAATGACGTTAAGTAGCTTTGATCAATTTCAAGAATTGAATGGTCTGGCAACAGCAGCATTATTATTTAATAATTTTAAACAAGAGCAACCAAACACGGTGATGGATTTAAGTAATTCAAATTTACATAATATTCTATCTAGTCAAATGATCTTAAATTCGTTCTCACCAACATCTATTCCTCCTACTACACCGATGAAAAATGACTCATACTCATCTGTCAATTTTAAACATATAGAGACAATGGTTCGTGATCAAATTCAATATCCAAACCCGCTACCAATACCCGATGAATTTCGTTCCGGATGGTGGCGTATTCAGACACCTGAAGAATTACGTACGCTAATGAAACAATTAGCTAAACGTGGTCAACGTGAACGTCTATTATGTAGAGCACTACAACGAAATTTTGATTCTATATCAACCACAATGAAATCAGTTAAACAAGGTCTCGACTTAGAATCGAATGACCAACATTCAACTGAAAATACACTCGATGAAACGTCGATGACTACTGTTGTTGATACGGAGCAACAGACGGATCAAATACGTTTACAACAAGAAATGGATGTTCTAAATGAAATATATAATTTATGTGATAGAATTGTTGGTGCTAGTTTACAATGTCGATCGTACGATATGCAATCACCAAGAAAACGTTTAACTCTAAATGATATTTTGCTAAAAGGTTATGAACCGTTGCAGGAAGCGAAACATGTATTGAGTGAAATTGAACGAAATATTGAACGAAGATATTTAAAACATCCATTTGTTAGAAAACATGAACTGAATCTAACATCTCTAAGTCGTACTAATCATATCAATAATAATAATAGTTATTCAAACGATCCACCATCGAAATATGATGATGCACCACAACAATTAGAACGTTGGCGTCGTACCATAAATGAAACACGTACACCCGCTCAACTAGCATTGTGTTTATCACAATTAGAACGTTGCATAGCATGGGAAAAGTCGATAATGAAAGTGATATGTCAAATATGTAATAGTGATGTAGATGAAGATAAACTATTGTTATGTGATGGATGTGATAAAGGTAAAACATCTATTTCTTCTCTATGTTTTGATTTACTAATTTAATCTTGTTTTAGGAACGCATACGTATTGTTTTCATCCATCACTGGTAAATATTCCGTCTGGGGATTGGTATTGTTATGTATGTATTGGAAAAGCCAAGGGTGAAGGTCTGTGTTTTGTATGTGGAAATAAAAATGATGGAAATTTAAATCGATGTGAATATTGTGCAAAATTATTTCATGAAGATTGTTTACAAAATGCCAAACATCATCGTGGAAAATGGTTATGTATTGCATGTGGAGCCAATGAATGTGATCGATCAAAATGGGTATAGTCTCACTTAAATCAAATAGAAAACTCTTACCATTTGAATTTATGTTTTCTTTATCTTTAGAAAATTGGACGTCAAACATCTCGCTCGAACATAGTAACTAAAACACCTAATTCAAAAAAACTCTCTCCAAATACAAATAATTCTACGAATGGTGACGTAGTACCGTTGAAACCAGTTTCGTCTCGTGGTCGTGGTCGAGGTGGTGGTGCACGTGGTATATCAAAAAATCGATCATCAACATATAACAATGAAACAGTACCAGTACTTGATTCATTATCGAATTGTTCAACGGACGTTGCACTTACTTCATCGAATTTAAATGAATCGTCTTTATCTACGATCCATTCGCCTAATACAAATGATCAAAGTCATGATATAGCGTCGGTAACAAATAACGATGACGATACAAATAATACTTGTAAAACGAGAACTCCAGTAAAACGTCAAAAATTATCTAAAACATCTGATACAGACATAAAAACATGCAAGTATGTTCTCAGTTATCTGTCAGGCATAAGTAATTAGATCGGTGCCTGTAAGTTTAGTTTGCTCATCGTTTAATCATATGAATTTTATTTTTTAGAACCATATTAAATGAATTAATTAAAAATGAATCATCATGGCCGTTTAAAAGTCCCGTTGATAATAAACAATATCCAGATTATTTAGATGTTATTAAACAGCCAATGGATTTTCAAACGATGAAAAAGAAAATGAAAACAAATCAGTAAGTTGTTTTATTTTTAACAACTAACATGCATCTTCATTGTTTTTTTGTTCTTTTAGATATGAGAAAAAAGATGATTTTGTAATGGATGTACGATTGATATTCGATAATTGTGAACTATATAATGAGGATGATTCTCCCGTTTGTCAAGCGGCTCATCTACTACGTACTTATTTTGAGACAAGATGGACAAAACAATTTGGCTAAATTAGTCTTTTTTATTGTTATTATTTCTCTTTCTCTTTCTCTCTCTCACTCACTCATTCATTCACACTCTTTGTGCCATTGTAAATACGGATCTTTGTTGCTGTTGATATCTCTTGAATGAAAAATGTATTATTTCCATATTACTGAAGGAATGCCGTTTTTATCTCAGATAACAAAAAAATAATAATGTTTGATTTATATACTTTGAAGTTTAAAAAATGTAATCCAATCAATGTATCTCGTCGTTGTTCAACATTAAACATATATATTTACAGTATTTTTTTTTCTTCTTTTGTTTGTTTTTCTTATATATCATCTAACTTGTCAGATTTATGTGTAATTCTCGTTTTCTTGTTTTGACTGATAGAATATTAGTGGTGTGAGTAGTATTCGATATCGGGTTTAAATTTTTACTAGGAGTATTTTGAGCTTCCTCTAAAATGGAATAGATGCGGAATGATCACACAATAGTACATTTACTTGTCAGAACTTGGGTATTTGTTGTTTTTTTACTTAAATGTTAATTAAATAAGACCATTTTGTACATTTAATTATAAGAATAATAATAAAAATGCTTTTTTTTACAACAGTTCCTATTGTTTAACTGCTCCTGTATCTCTCCAATAGGTATTGGAAAATGTTGCCACTAGAGGTGTTAGCCGCGCATTTTTTGCCGCCATGTAAAATTTTTCGAAAATTATAGTGTCGTTGCCACAAGTTTTTCAAAAATTTATTAAAAATTATAACTTTTCTCTGTTACAAGAGGTGTCCACCACGTCGCCACCGATAACAGAAATATCGGCTAACACTTCTAGTTGCTACTTGTGTTGCCACTTGGTTTTCGGGAATAATGTGAAACATGCTGGATTTTGTTAAAATAGGAAAAGACTTTCTTTACTTTCTAAGGCAAATGTTAACTTCCGAAGTACGTCAAAAAAAGAGTGACAGAAAAAATTTTTGCTTTTGAAAATTTGATGTTTATGATAAGAATGTTTTAATTGCATTTTTTCGTTCGATTTCATATAAAATAAATTGTTTTGCCTGTGTAATATTTCTTGTACATGCACATAATTGTTGTTGATGATTTGTCGTTATATAATAATCACCAATGGCTAATCGAATTTGAAATACAATGATATCATTTGATTCAATACATTCTGATGTATTTTGACCGTCCATTTTAATTATTTTTACATAACGATTCGCATATTCTCTGCCATATTTCATTTTTAACTTTCTCCCGTTAGATATCAATGATAGATAATAATTTTGTGCGTTAGCATCAATAAGTAAGACATATTGTTCAGATTTTAAACAACGATTTCGTCTTGGAGTACCATTATTAGTTACCAAAAATGATGTACCATTATTATTATCTCTAATTAACGTTAGATATCGTTGTTCATTAATAATAAGTGATTCATTTGTTTCTTTTGTTCTAAATTGAATTATGGTTATAATACCAAATTGTTCCTGTGGCCATTCGAGTAGAGTCAAATTGGAAAAACCTACCACAGGATAATGATCAGATAATTCCATAATTGGAACATTTTTATTATTATATATTTTTGATGAATTTGTACCAAGTAAATGCCATTGTTCAATGGCTAAACGATCTGTTATAAGATTATACCATAACCAATGTTCAGATTTATGATCTTTTAATATGAAAATATAATCGAGTAATTCATTAACATGATTCGGTGTCCATGTCATTAAATTATATGCACTATCCCAACTATATTGAATTGAATTTGGATAATATATTGGTTCAATAACATTTAGAATTTCAAGCATTCGTCGATATTGTTTAATATGATAACGATCAATATTAAAATCGCCCATAAGAAATACCAATTCATTTTTAGAAATGTTTCGTTCATTTAAAAATTGTCGAATTTCTTGTAATTGTCGTTCACGTATAACAGATTCACCGTATAGATAACAGCCACGAAAATTAGTTGGTTGAAGATGAGTACCAAGAACATGAACAACATATTTATTATTGTATAATATTTTAACATAAACAAAACCGGTACGAACGAATGTATGTGCACTACACGCATTCCGATAAAAATATTGTAGTTTGTATTGAATCGGCCACTTTGATAAGATCATAACACCACCACTTACAAATTTAGATAAACTTGAACTCAAATGACTATTTAATGTTTCATTCCATAATTCTTGCTCATTATTTGTTCCAAGCACCGACGTTCGATAGTCGTATGATTGTGATAATGATTCGAGTAAAATACGACTTGGTTCTTTTTGAAATACTTCTTGTAAACATAATATATCATATGTATGTAAAAAGTTCGTTTTTGTTAATAATTTTGAGCGTGTTATCTGATCACGATCAAAGACAATGATAGATGGTACAAACATAACATTATATGATATAAGTGTTATTTGACTGGTTCCATTTGAATAATCATCAGTATTTACTCGTATCAATCGTAGTAATAACATGATGAGAGTCAAGTGAGAAAATCTCATGTTTTTTAGTTATACTATGTTGAATCTGGCGTTTTCTTATTTCGACATTTGGTTTAACATTTAAAAGAAGAAAAAAAAAGCATTGATTTTATTAGTGTACATCGAGGAGATGACATCTCAATATAACAAATAAACGGTGGGTACAGAAATTGAACATCTATTCACAAAAAATCTTCTAAATACATACTGCCATTTTGAACTGGTATTTTTAACACAGTGTAGGTGATCGTCTGTTGTGTACTGGTAAAAAAAGTTTTCTGTGGAACATTCCAAACAGTTTTGACTTCGGAGAGAAGTCATTTTATGTTCCGAGTAATCAAAAATAGTAAATCATTTATCTACACTAATTACCTTTTGAAGAACTAAAACTTTTACGTGTTAAAAGCAGAAAAATATTTGAATAGTTGAAGTTAAAATTAAAGTCGTTTTACTTTTAAATTTCTAAAAATACTGTTTTAAATAAACGTTCCAGATAACTTTCAAGTGCATTTATTCAAAGAGTAGAAAAAGTTGAATGAGATAAATGTATTTAGAAGTTGCTGCTAAAGGATCTTGTCAGTCTTTAAATAAGAATTCTAGAAAACTTTCTAAAGGAAGATATTTCAAGTCCAAAACTTTATAGTAATTTCTCACTTTAAATTATTTCTAACGAGGGAACCGCCCCAGGTGTCCGGCCCCGATTTCGTTCGTTCATACATCATTCGATAGAGGACCTCGAGTAGGCAAAAAGGCTAAAAGGATTTGGGCGGAGGGCCCTTTAAGACCCGGTT